CCCAGACTGTATAGCTCCCAAAGCTAAAACTCTGGCCCTTTGAGAAAACATTTGGCTACTCTGCCTTATAGGAATGGATTCTGAGTTCTAGTAACACAGGTCCCAGGGACCTGAGTCATCACCTCTCACCTACTTGTCTGCATAAGCCTCTTCCTTACTGGGTGGCTGTTCCCATTTTTGGTTCACTAAAGGGGCACATAGATTTGAGGGAACGTTAATACAGGTCACTGCGTAGGGTGTGTATAGCTCTGTTCCTATCTGTCTTGAATGCCTGCCAGTGTTGCTGTCAAGGAGCTTCTGAACCTGGCATTCCCACGGGCGGGGGGTTTGTGTGTGTGTGCTTTTTTAATTTGAAAAAAAAAAAAAAAAGTCATGTTGGTAAAGCACCGTGTACTAAGAACTCGGAGGCCTGGGTTTCCGGCCACCAAGAAACCACCTGTTCCTGGGCTCGAGGATCTCCCTCATGAGCTGTCCCCATGAATGGGCAGCAGAACGTGCAACCCTTCGCACAAGCCATTGGAAACCCTGGACTCGCTTCTTGAAGTTGTGGTCTGAGCCTCGGACTTAGTAAAGCCACAGAGGTTCCCAAGCTTCGTGGCTTCTGCTCTGTTATTCCTATTTCGAGGTCTAGTGTGCCCCGGGGGCTTAAGGGTAGGATGCAGCAGGTGCTGGAAGGGGCCTGACCAATGGGAGAAACTGTCAATCTGGGCAGTGGCAGATCTTGACCTTGAATTGACATCCTTTCTGACATGGTCTTCCCCAACTAGGAAAGGATCATTGGGTATGAGCCAGTGTGTATAGGAAGCCTCTAAAGGATCTGGATGGGCAATCTGGAAGACAGAGCTGTCCCGGTCCCGCAGTCTTTAATGGGGTTGCTGCAGTGGATGGTGAGTTTGCATCCTGAACAATGAGGCCCTTCAGTCAGCTAGCTGGTCAGTGGCTCTCCAGGCCAGGGACCCCATACTGTTACAGGGAATTACCAGTGTTCCAAGAACTGGTCGGGTTTTGAAATTCTGTATCTCGTTTGGCCCATTGTCAGCCTTGAACAACTACATCAGTCATGTAGGTAGCCTGTGTGACCCAGCACTTCTGGAGAGGAGATGAGAGTAATACTGAGAAACTCGGAAATAAGCAGGATAATTCTTGGCATTCGTACGATGCAAGCCGCCTGCGCTGCGTAAAGCAGAACGATTTGCGTGAATTGCCCAGACATTTTACAGCGGACTGAAAGGCACGATTGTGAAGAATTTTTTGCACATCCGCTTCCTCACAGAAGGCGTCCTCTGAAACGCTGTCCATAGGTCCTCCCCTTTTATCCAGCTCCTGCTTGTTACAGGCAGGGGCTTGGTAGGAACCTCATTTAAGCGTCCTACTTATGGAGACCCAGCTGAAGCTCACTTGCCCAGGATGAGACCCTTCTCAGCTCTGGCCTTTCAAACACGTTACAAACATTAGATTAATGAAAGGGTCTCTTCAGAGGGATACCTTGGAGGTGACTGAAAGCTGCCGTGTCTGGTGACATCCTAGATACTGAAAAGTCCTATTAAAGAGATCACTTATGCATTAAGTACAGTCTCAGAAATATCCACGCAAAGGTTGCTCAAAAATCACTGGCGTCCCCTCTCTCTGACTGCACACAAGGAAAGGCCTTGGCCCAGCCCAGAGAACACTACGGAAATGTGACTCCAAGATTCGTGACGTAGGTGCACAGGGCTCCAAGGACCCACCTCATTAGGCCATCCTTCTTAATTTTGGTGACACCCCAGTCAGAGCCCCTGTCTGCCTTCCTGGCCCTGACAGTCCAGGAGAAGCCTTGAAATGACCCAGCCTCTGTCTGAGCATTCTTCATAGGTTTGAGGCTATTTCCTAAGGGTAACTCTGAGTATTTTAACTTTGCAGGTCGGTCATTCAACTGTCATGTCACAGAACAACTGTAATAATCCATACAGGGCTGGTGAAACAGCTCAGTGAGTTATGACGCCTGCCACCAAGCCTGAGTCCAAGCCCTGAGACCCACACTGTAGAAGGAGAGAACTGACTCTTGCAAGTTGTTCTGTGATTTCCAAATATGCATCATCATACATGTACGCACACATATATACACAGAGAAAAATGATTTAAAAATTTTTTTTAAATGATCCATTTAAAGTAAAATGCATTTTCTTGTTTTTTTTAACATGGGCTACAACCAAAACACGTGTTCTGACCTCCATGATAAAAAAAAAAAAAAATGTTCCAAGAACCTGCTTCTCTAGGGACCGTCAGGACCCTGCCCTTCAGGGATTGGCCTCGATGATTAGAGGAGAAGAAACAAATTTTCAGGATTTGGAAGCTAATACAGTTGTCCAACATAGTGGTCTATACCAGGGAAATGGGCAGCTGCTACCCATTTCCATCACAAGAGCCATTTGCTACAGAACTGGCTGGCTGGTCCTCCTCCTCCCTGAGAAGCTGAGGGATCCTAGCCTGGGAGCTTTGCCTCTAGAGCCTGCTGCCCTCTTGATATTCAGACATAGATGAGAGAGGTGGGAAATTTGAGTATCCGCCAAAGTAATGGCCTTGGGCATGAAGGGGAGGGGGACTCTGAATCTAACTGATCCTTAGTGACCTGTGTCCGGGGCTCCCTACGGATGGTGGGGTAAAGATTCTAGAACCAGATGTGGGAGGCTGCCACATTTTGGACCTGCCCTGTGACCCCGAGTTCATCCTACATGGACAACGACCTAAGTAGGGGTTTGTTTTAAAGGAAAAATAAACCCCAAACACAATTCTTAGCATTGTTTTGATGTGCCAAGTTCTCAGATGGCTAGGACACTCTGTATTGGGATACTGGACTGAGACGCATTTTGTGACAAGGGACATTTTTCTCTACCTGGGATGTCTTTTATGTACCACTGAGCTCTTAAAACCTGTGTGACTGAGGAATGTTCAGTGTAACTAACTGTAATTTGAGTTTATGAGTTTCAATAGGCACATGTGGCTGGAAGTACTCTACTCACAGGAGAAACTCAAGGGTTTTTAGGGCAGCGTTGAGTGGCAGCCTGTGTGCTCAGCATATGGGGGTACATTCATTACGCCGCACTCCCCATGAGACCTTAAGTGTTTCCCAGACTGTCTTCCACCTACCCCAAACATCACTGATCACCAAGAACAGTACTCAGCCATGGCAGTCATTATCCAATTCAGCAGCCGTCACTGGGCTGAACACAGAGAGTGGCCTGTGTTACCCTCATTCCCCATTGCAAAATGAGCAAAGACTCCAATTTACAGGTAGGGAAATGAGTGACAGAGAGGTACTTCCCTTGCCCAAGTCCTCAAGCCAGAGGCCCCACCCAGACATGCGTCATGGGAGGCACGGGCAGGAGGAGGCTCTGAGAAGCCAGTATGAGCACTGCTGAAGCAAGGCCTCGCATCTGTTCTATTACCATCTGGATGTCTCTAGCTCTAAGTACGGTTTTCCTTCCTGGGGTGCACATAGATGTTTTTATCTCAGTGTGACCTCCTGTCCCTTTGCACAGTACCATATGCATCCTGCTTCACACCTTTAGCAATGTCCACTCCCCACCTGGTGCTTGTGACACCTCTTTGGCTCCAGTCACTACCAGGCTCCTTCAAAGTCAAGGACTGGTTTGTTTGGGCCTCTCATTTTTTTATGGGAGCGGGGCCTACTGATGCCCAAGTAACCAATGCAGCCCCCTTTCACAGTGTGTGAGTTCTGGATGTGAGAGTCGAGAACAAATGATTAAATGGGATGAAATGAAGATGTCATTTTAGCATTCAACAAAGCTTTCTGAAATTCTGTGGTGTTAGAGTAACGACATCCTGTTAGCTTCCTTTACATTGGGTAGCTATTCTTTCTGCTTCTTAGCAAATGGAATCTTACTGTGTGAGGTAGAGGTGGGGGAAGTACTGAGGATTAGCTCCTTTTGTGGACAGGCCACCACTCGAAGCCACTGCTAGGTCCTCTGCTATTGGAGCCAGTGCAGTGGCCTCACCTCCTGTCCTGGATGGCAGAGGCTGTTCTTCCCCTTTGCTTGCAGTAGGCAAACTCTGTCTAATTCAACCACAGCAATCTTCAGAGGCTGTGTCTGGGGCGCACTGCTGCTATGACAGTGCATTGCCCAGCTTCCCTTCAGGCCGCTGCCAGCTCACTTCAGCCAGAGGGAAGGGTGCAAACAGTGCCTCACCTCCAACCTCCAGGACACAGGGTAGAGGGATGCAGGCTGATTCAAGGGGAAAGCAGGGGCTTGACAGTTCAGACTAACACTGGTGAGTCCTGGGTATATTCAGAGATCCTCAGAACCAGTCCTGGTGGTTGGGCCACGGGAGGGGAACGACTGGTTTGCTCAACAACTGGTCAAGTCCCACAAGCTCTTGTTGATGTCAGACGGTGTGGGCTGTGAACCTGGTCTTCCCTCTGCTGCCCAAATGGACACACAGGGCAACACACGGGGACTGGCCTATCCCCTAATCACACATAGGTGGGGAGGGCTTTTCTACAGAGGGGCTGTACCGTCAAGTGTTCTGGGAAGAGAATGAAAGTCATAGACTGTCAGCTACATCAAACCTTAGACCATCCTTCATGAATGCTAATCCTGTTGCAGTCAGTTATCCTGTCTGTACATCAGCATTTACTTTCCCCAAAAGCCATCTGATTTTTTTTCCTTCCCTTCTATAATACAATCCCTAAGCATCAAATAGCCTTGTATTTAGATAATTTGGACCAGCACACATATCATGTCTTATCAAGATCAGAAACAATCTGAGTACGTTATAACAAAAGATCCATCAACTCACTGAAATACAGCTACTGCTCGAATTCAAGGCCAGATAGGTGAACGCTAACACACTCACATCAGTGATGCGCGTGCAGAAGGACTGGCCTTTACCACACTTGTGACCCTTGTCACTCACTGACACAAAATGCTGGCCGTAGACTCCTGTGGGTCACAAGCCTCCCGGTAAGACGGTAAGACGTGAGGTGCAGCTGTCATACATACCCTTCCCGGTGGGCCTCTCCTTTCTCCAGCTCCTGAATAACTCCCAGCAACACCTTGATGGTCTCCTGGCTTGAGCTGATGAGGTTCTCCATCACCTGCAGCTGGGCCTTGAGGTCTACTACTTCTGTGTGAGGCACGATCTGTCGGCATTCTTCATCTCCCTCTCCGGCTGTGGGGCCGGGCTGGGTCTGAGGGGGCTGTTCGCTAAATTCTGGGGGCGGGCACTGCACTGGAGGTGCGCAGGCCAGAGCAGAGGCCGTGGACGCCTGCAGCCCGTTGAGGTGGGCCGCCCTCCCCTGCTCCTCATCCACAGGGCAGAGGGACCACTGACTGGCAGCCGCAGAGTTTGAGAAGCCAGGCTCAGGGGCCCTGGCACCGATGGCAGGCGGGTACACAGTGGCGACCTCCGTTTTAAACACCCTCCCGTGGGTGAGGGGAGCAGGCTCCTCTGAGTCCGGGGTACCCCTGTTGGACTTTGCTCTCCCCTGCGGCTGGTGGATGGGCTCCTCAGAAGGAGGCCGAGAGTTCTGGAGCAGAGTCTCATGGTGGCCGAGCCGGTCCGGGTTCTTGCAGACCTCTGCACAGTTGACCCCGGAAGGCTGGTCCAGCGCATTCAGGTGCTCGTTGGAATGGAAAACCAAGGCTGTGGTCTTGTGAATTCTCCCCGCGCCGCAAGGTTGGGGGTCTTCCTTGGGTCCGGCCTCGCTCTTTTCTTTTGAATCTGCTGGGAAACCATTGTTCTGGCTTCTGAAGCCATCCGCAGTTGGCAGGCCTTTGAGGCTGCCTTTCTTGCGGTCCAGCGGGAAGGTCTGGTAACACTTGCGCAGGTCTGGCGAGGTCTGCACACCCGTGCTCTTGGTGACGTTGGGGATGGATCTGCGAGCGGGCACTGTCATGTACTTGCGATACACTGCCCTGCAGGACACGGCCTTGGCTTCCCGCTTCTCCCCCGTCTGTCCTGAGGACAGCTGCGAGTCCCTTTGCTCATTCTGGGCTTCGCAGATGTCCTTAAAGCGCACCTGCAAGGCCTTGTTCCGCTTCTTGATCTGCCGGTTGGGGTCCAGGGCGTATCTCATCTCCAAGGCCAGGCAGGCGGCCGGCTCCACTTCCTGCTCGGGTGTCATGAGTATGCATCTGCCCGAGTCCTTGCTGACCATGGTTCCTGCATGCAGAGACAGTAACAGAGGCGTCAGAATCACACACACACACACACACA